TTTATGTAAACATTCTAAAGTTGATCTTATTTCAACATCACTTAAAATCTAAGTAGACACGTAAATGATTGGTATATATTTTCTCATAGATATTTCGATTAAAAAATTCTCTTGATATACCTGATTTTACTAAATTAGGAGTGGGAGTAAACCACATAGCTATGGACTGATGTGGTAGCATAGTGTTTCGATCACTAGACTACCCACCAAATAGAAGACCGACTGAAATTACGCTCCCCCTATTTCTGTCCACAAAATTTAATTTTATCACTTGAACACAAACAAACTGTGTGATTTAAAGCCAAATCATCGGCCTGTATTTGATAAATGAATTGCAATATCGTTTTGATTAGGATAAAGACTTACATTCCTTTCAGAAGTGAACATTTACTAGGTCACTGATGTTGACGGTCAAACTTGACCATTATTCACTTAAACAAATACATTCAGTTTTGTGTCACTCTCAAAAGCATCAAACTATTTTTGTCGGAACCGAATATTATATCGCAAGTGATTACAGATTAAAATTTAAATCTAATTAGTTTTGTTTTTTCTTTGACAATGGGTACACATAAGCTCATATCTGTAATACATTACGAAACAGATTTTTCTCGCTATATACAAACCGAATAATTCAAAGAGATAAATACTTCCATAAACCTGACATCGTTATAGTTAAATGGGACAATTCGTCAGATAAAAGCTCAGTTCATAGATCCCATCATCTTTACAATCATCAACTGAACCAATGAAAGGTGATCAGTTGCTTTGACTCTAAGATATAATTTAGATGAAAATTTTGTAATGGCAATCAAAAAGTGTTTATATCATCTTATATTAATTTGATGGATACACTTATTCTAGTATATATTATGAATGTTGTGCTTTAGGAATTAACAGTCACATGTGATGTATGCGTGCATACAGTTTATTATTTGTTCTCTTGGTTACCTATTTTGTGTGTGACCGGAAAAAGTCAAAACATATACAATGGTTTGCAGTTCTGAAAAAAGGAATGTAAAAATCTGGTGATGTTTAAACACAAACAGTTATAGTATTAAAGAAATTGTAGCAATACTAATAAATATAGATTAGGGTAAAAATGAATGTGAAAATAAGATTATTCTGATTTCCAATGTTCCATTATTACAGTTTTCATAATTAATCAATATCAGCTGTAGTATGAAGTAGCAATACAAATTGTTGTCATCTGATTTTAAAATTCTCACTTGCATTAGTAGTACTTTTTATGTTTGTACTTTTAAGTCTGATACAATAACGTATATAGAACAATAAACTTTTGTAGCAAATTATTTCATCAGAATATAGTGTTTCGTTTCTTTCATCACAGAATATAGTCAAACTATGTTTCAAATGTGTATCCTAATTGATTTAAGAATTAGACTTGTTGACTAAAAACAAATACATAATGCATAAAGCCACATCATCGTACCTCACACATAATTTGAAGTTTTTAGATGAAGAATCTTTAATGGATTGAAGTAATTATAAAAGAATCATTTTTATTTCATCTCATCTCACAATCGTTTGCATTTAGTCTGTATGAAGGCACTAATATGATATACTTCATTGGTGATTACTTGATCGTTACTCATCTTCATGTGTCCTTTATAGAAACACTATTATACTACCTATGTTAACAACTCACCCTAACAAGTTTTATTCGAGTTCTTTCATTTTTTTCCATGACACAAAAATTTCGATAAACATTATCAGATTCTATGTACAAAATTCGACTGTATCTCAAACTTAGGTGAACTGGATTAGCGGGAAACAAGTTTATAAATAAATAGCCCTAGGCATGAAGGTGACTCCTTGTTGTGGTGGCAGTAAAGCTTTTCCCAATAAACGATCGAAATTTCATGGGACAGAGCACCTCCTCAAGCGGAAGTATAGATAGAAAAGTTCAACCATACACACTTCATGGATTACCAATGATGATCTTGTTACCAGGCTTTATGTTCACTATAACTAGATAATTGTTTTCCCAAATGGTAAATGAAATAACCTAATGAGTGTAATAATAAAAAATCAAGTGGCTGCAATCCATTTTCAATCTTTAATATTCAATCAAAAATCTTTTATCAGACTAAGCTGTTAAATTCACAGACCAAATATTCTCCTGATTTATGGACAATATGAATTCGGTGAAATGAAAAAACATAATTTCCCACCAGCATAAGTAAATAGGCGTTTTACCACAAATAACACAAACTTGATACTCTACAATAGTAGTAAAAAAATTGTACAATTCAAGAATGAAGTGAGTTTAACGAATAAAATAGAGATTAAAACTGTTTTTCAACCAGAACTCAATCTGGTGTTTTTGATCAATATCAAGAAAAATAGTTAGCCAAATAATCTTTATAAACATTTAAATGATTGAAATCAGAACGTTCTAACAAACATAACAAAATTTAGGCAATTCATTTACCAAAAACTGATAGACAGACTTGGCTTTTAGTCATAATTGCTTTGTGTAGAAGTCAGTAAAACAACATGACTGGTCAGATAAATTAAGGTGAGTTGGGTTTTGAACCTATAACCTAAATAGGTGAAAGTCAAATAGATTAACAATTAAGACACCGTTGCAATTTCAAACAACAATAGTTAGAAAATCCCCAGTACGTATATTAATTGTAACTTAAATAGTGTTTTGTGAATTTTTAGCGATTTAACAAAGAATGCATGACTTAAATTGAAAGATACTGACTAGAAAATTTGAAAATTAATGTCAAATTAAGCAAGTTTTCTAGAAACTCGTCACAAAGGAGACCAGAAGAAAAACACTAATCACTTTATTCTGAACATCATAATCAGACAAGAAGAAAATTGATTGTCAAATAACTAACAGCAATTAAAATTTGAAGGTCTAAATTTATATTCACTTTCTTTTAGGTTGGGGAATCAAATACTGAGCAAAGTTTGACGTACACCATATATATATACCAATAAAAATTTCACTTTTTCACCAGGAGACTCATTGAGATTAAATGTCATAATACAAATAATAAATATCAAGTCATGAGAAAGGTCAATAACAAAATAAATTATGGATCTTGGTGATACAAAAAAACTACAAATGAAAACTAAAACATACAAATTGGTTGATGAATTGATGAACAGATAAATCAAAATTAATGATAAATAATAACTTTTTAAGGAAATTCAAATTATGAAGAAAAATGTCTTAGATAATTGTTTGGAAAATGTTATGATCAATCTAGACAGGTTAAAAATCTAAGCGATTTATAACCAGTTAAAAAATTAATCTCTCAAATAAACTAATGCATGCGAAATGATATTTATATATAAATGCGTTTTTTTTCAGTTTTTAGACCAATGACTGTTTGACTGACAAAATGCATTAATTCATTAACATATGGAAGTTTCACAACCTACAGACTTGGGCAACAGATGGAATATTTTCTTTACACTGATGCAGTAAATTGCTAAACATTTTTTTACAGTGTATTGAACACCATTTGGTTGTTTATAAAAATTAATCTGAACTTTATTGTTCCACTCAGTAACCTCTTAATGCCACAATATAAATAAAAGAAAATCTGAAAAATTAAATTATCGTTGTAGACAAAAACGGATGATTTTGCTACTATATTTAGTTCACTCGTTGTTAGAAAAAGTGGGAGGAAAAGGTTGTCTATCATTCCCCCTTTAAATTTATTTTGAAAACGACATAGAAATGCGGTCCCTCTGAAGTTTCTTGGTTAACTAATTGTTAAAAAATTATTTTCACAGGAAAACTGTAAAGACTACGATACATCGGTTTGCTATTTTTCACACTGGGTTGAGACTTCTTAGACATGTAAACTCACTAAAACAGATGACTTTGAAGCCAGGATATGCAGGTGTTTCATTGAACCACAGTATAGAAATACAGTGTTTAGTGTTTGGTAAGACCAGTCAATTTTTAATTGTCATTCATGGACAACTGCTTCAAGCCCTACTTGATTAACTTAGCAGATCAGGACACACTACCGTATCAAATTACTTCTTTTCCAAAAGTAGATTCACGTACTTGGCTTCAAACTATAGCGTATGTATGTTGAACTAGTAAACTGAAGTAGGCGGAATGCGGTTTCAACCAGTGATTTATTGGTTGCAAGTTGAACTCCTTATTCACTGAGCAACCGATCGTTAAGGACGTATCTGGTAAAGATACTTGTGAACAAACAAAACAACTGTCCGGTACTTACTACTTTTCAATGGTGAATGATGATGCCGCAAGCTGATCAGAAGTGACCTGGTGGACAAGTAAATTTCATTGTCTAAGAAAGAGACTGATTTTCTAAGGGATAGAGTTGCATATAAATAAATGAGTATTTATACATCTTATCCAGTAGCCCAATACACTTTCTCGTCTACTTTTGTGTTTTCGCTCAAGTAGTCAGACGGGCGGTTAGTGTGCAGCAAATAGTGTATCAGTGTCAGATTTCGGACACCCCACGTCACAACAAATAAGATTATTTCAGTCTATGGTAAAGAAAATTATTTTAAAATATAAAGTTATATAATAAATTAACAAAAATCACTAAAAGTCAAAGAATATAGAAAATTGATTATTCATAACTAAACATTAGAGTCCTAACATTGAGCATTCCATGTCAGTCAATTACAGAGCTTGAATATAGACATTCACTTTTACGAAACATTAACAAGGATTAAAATGAATGATCATTATCTATAGAAAAATCAATATAATATAAAGTATGCAACAGAATCGAATTACACAATCATCCAGTTATCCTAATTTATAGTTCAAAAGGGTTTTTGTGTCCTAAATAACACCCGATCTGTCTAAAACAAATACGCAAACAATTTTGTCTAAAATTAATAAAATGAAAATATAATCATAAAATGGAATAATCGCGTCTTGAATAATTTAGTTAGCATAACAAAACTTTAAATTGAGTATTAGTACTGTATATTGGTACTTTTATTCTTTTTAGTGAAGAAGTAAGAATTATAGTTTCAACAGTAACAACAATAGCGGAAATAAACTATGGATTTATGATAAGTCGGAAAATGTCAAAAGTTCATATTTATGTACCTTTAAATAATCTTTAAATTCATCACTTGTAAGAAAAAGCATTTCATGTTCTCGATCACTTGACTGTGAAAATAAATCAGGACCATCAGGATCTCCACAACCTTTAAGATTATTAGATTCATTGGTGTGTTTTATTGTCCTATAACCAGGATGAACCATAAATTCAATGTTCTTACAATTGTTAAAAGATGATAAAGACTGGTCCAATAATTCTATTGTTTGATTTTTTCCCATCAGTGCCATTCCAATGAATTTTTGAGTATATCTAAAATGTGATGACAATGATGCTTACTTTAGTTAAACATAAAATGAACACAGAATGAAGTGAATATTATTGAACGAATATGCATGATTAGGTTGCTTTTAGTAACTAATCAATCATACAGTATGTCCAATTATTTCAATATTTGCACTTCAGATATATGTGAAATCAGTAATAGAAACAAATAACTGACTAGTAATTGGACTGTCAAGAATAGCCCTAATCTGAAACTATAATCATATAGACTGACAATAATAGACAATTGTACTTTAGCTAGATAAAATCCAACTAATTATCTGTTGGCTAATCGTTTGAGTATGATGAAAATCAAGATTTCTGAAACTTATATTACAATTCACGGATAAATAATAATACACACATAGGTATATAAGTCTGTTATCGTGAATACTTTTACTTTTCACCAGCAAAACAGAGCGATTTAATAGCAAAATAGATTTCTTTCTTGACAGAAATACATAACCAAGTCAACCAAGAGACCAATACAACACTTATTCACAAAAAAGTAGAATCGGCAGTTTGGTGAAAAAAAAACAGTATTTTGGGTAAGGCTGACTGAAAACTCAGTTCTTACAATATTTACCAACATATATGATCACTAAACACATAAGTTAGAAAATATGACCGTTTATGAGGTAACAGGCATTCATTTACGAAATAATCTTTATATTATGAGTTGGAATTTATGGATTTATGAAGTTTGAAAAACAAAATTCTCTACCTAGATTGCACATAGACGATTTACGCAATAATACGTATATCTATCAGTGTATCGAGTGAATGTGTGTACACTGAATGTTTTAGAACACCTTTCCTATGATTACTATAATCAACAAAAGTACAAAGCTAGCAACTTTCCCTCGTTCATTTAGTAAATACCATACTAGTTTAATTACTATCTTTAATACAAAAGTCAGACGTTGTAATTATTATATCTATTTAAGAAAGCATATCTAAAATACTAAATGATTAGTTTGAATTTCATTGGGAATAATAAAGTGTATAGAACCAAACAGTATATACATTCGATAAATTTTTATTGGTATATAACATATGTTGTAAATTCCACCGTGAACCAACAATAATGATAATAACTACTTGTAAACTGAATGACAGTTTCATGCAAATATTTTTATGAAAGATTTTACAACAAATATCATACTATCATTACTAGTAACTACACAATACTAATTAGACGTACTTTAAACTATATGATGAAAATATTTCTTTTGCTTTCATCGCTTGATCAGATACTTCTCTATAGAAATTTATTTCAGCTAAAATGATACAAAGTCCAATCAAAAATTAGCATAAAGTAATTGATAAAACAAAAAAAAAGAAATAAAATGAAGGGTACAGGTGGAGAAGAAAAAAGAAAATCATTCTCTCATTGATAGAATGTAAACTCATTACTACTAGAAATTATCACTATTCTCACTGGCAGTAAAATATAAAACACAAATAATACCAGTAAACCAGATTAAAATTGTGAGATATTATAAACATTAAATAATAATGTTCAGGAGGATTGCAAAATTACAACTCCCAGTAAGTAAAGATAAGAAATCGGAAAAAATTAGATACAAATGTTATATGCTACGATAAAATATGAATATTTCTGATGAATAGGCTACTCTGTCAAATTTTACTTGCCTTCAATACACGTTATTCAGTGCGATTCCATTTTTATTACCCCATCAATATTTTTCTTTATATGAGAAACACTAGACGGTTTCTGAGTAGTTACCAATATAAGAGTCTAGACTGCATTAAGTTTTATAAATAAACAATATATGGGAACAAAATAAATAATCTAGTGAGAACCAGTGACCAGTGGAGTTCAGCCAGGTCTTTTGGGAGATATCAACTCACTAGAAACAAGGGTGGACGGTTGCTCAATTTCGTTGATCGGTTGAAGTTAGACATTAACACCGTTAGATACCGGCTCAGTGGTCTAGTGGTTAAGCGCTCGCGCGCGAGACTAGTAGGTCCTGAGTTCGAATCTCGTGAGGCGGGATCGTGGATGAGCATTGATGAGAAGTCCCACAATAGGACGAAACGGCCGTCCAGTGCTTCCAGGTTTTTCATGGTGGTCAAGCTTCAATTGATTCATGATCTCAACTATTAAAATAATCATAAATTATAGTGATGAATAAACAAAAGGAGCGAGTGCGCATAGTAGCGACTACATCATCTGTCTAACTCTGTTACCACAGAAAACTTATATCTTTAATGGACAGTTGTTGACAGAAAGGAAAGTACAAGCTAGTACACTGTTAGAAAACACATTAATTGGGAAAAATTGTGAAATACATTTGAGTTTTAAAACTTGATATGAATTTTTTCCCTTTCTTCTAAACATATCGATTATTTATGAAATTACTTTATTGTACCTTATCACCGTTAATATTATGCTTCTGTTGATTTATTTACAATCAGTGTATGAATGGCAGACAGTCCGATGCCAATACAAAGTCGTTAAACTACTCCCCTTTACTTAGTATAATAATATTTGCAACCACGATAGTTTATAGATATTTTTGTTTTTCATTCTATAAGTTAATGTGCAGACTAAATAGGAATTAAGTTAATTTTTTTACAGAATGAGTTCTAAACAGGAATATAAATTAATGAGTGTAGTCAGTTCTTTACAATATTCAATTTCACACATTGTAGTCTGTCACAAATTAACAAATAGAAATTCATTATATCTCACTCTTCAACATATTTGGTACAGACACAAATCTAAAGTGGTACATTCTACAATAGCGTGTAGGTGTTAATGTTAATTTATATGTGTAGGCTGTTCAGTTTATTATGGTCGTCCATTTTGTTAATCATATTCTGTCGAATTGTTTCTTTATAATCTTGTCTTTCCCAAGGTAGCAAACTACTGTCAAATTGCATGTGACATATAGAAAATAAGAATTTTTACCACTTCATCGTTTTTTATGTAGTGAATTATAAAATATACAATTTTCATATAATAAATTAGAAATAATAATAAATATAAGGAAACTATTCAATACTATTTGTATCATAGGCATAAAGGCATGGACTTAAATGTGATTATATTAGATAAACGGAAAAACAATACACCGCAGTCGACAATTTCAAAATATTTACTTAAATTTTAGAGCAAACTAAAACACATGTGTGTGATATCAATGCGATAATTATGTTGGAACCTACTGCAGAAATAGTTCACGATCGTTCTCATACGACAAGGAGGTAACAAAAAAATGTATATTCATAAACAGTATATTAAGACCTTTTAACTTGATGAATTAAGGAATCCTGACAAGATGGAAGCTTAAATATTCAGGCTCTACCATAGGCTATGAAATGTTCCGATGAAACTTTGACCGACATCATCTGTTTGAATCAATTTATGATATAAGAAGATTTACTAATTAAGGCGCCACGAATAATAAAGAGTACTTCATAGAAAGTGTTATTCTTCGACAATGATTCTCAGAAAACATTCTCAAGTAGATATCCTTTAGATAGATTGCAGGTTATTAGTTGACAATAACAGAATTCTGACGTCAATTACAGAATGTCACAATTCCTAATTCCAATCCGTTTAAGGCGTGAGACAACCATTCACCTCAGACAAGGGATGAAAAGTTGCGCAAAAACATGGAACGATTGAAGTTGGACATTAACCTCGTTGGATACCGACTCAGTGGTCTAGAGAATAAGTGTTTGCGCGCGAGACCGAAGGTTTTGGTTTCCAGTCCCACGTGTGCGGTCCTGATGTGCATTGCTGAGGAGTACCACATTAAGACAAAACGGCCGTTTAGTGGTTCCACGTTTTTAATGGTGATACAACTTAAATCGACTCGTGAATTCAATTGTGAAAATTCTTAAATAGTCAGAAGTTCATAAAAAGATAAATATAATAGCAATCATCTCACTTTACTATTTATTACTAATTTTATTAAAAAATTTTTACACATCATGGTCTTCCACTAAACATTTGATCGAATTTGTAATTGCATATTATTTCTCTTATCCTATCTGACCCATATTTGTTCTGATCATGAATCTTGAAATTTCACTTAACATATAAGCTGATGCCATATGAGTCATTTCATATGTTATAACTATAAACGATGTACTTTGCTATTAACCTGGCCACTTTTCGGATTATTAATTTGAAGCTATAATTGTAGAACCCGAAGAGAATTTAGTGAAAAGAATATTCTTCATTCATATATTAGTCTTTTGATATGAAAGGGATTTTTAAACAAGTAAAAATAATTTTCTAGTTCTCTGATGTTTCCAATGATTATCTCAACTATTGGTGGACAGTTACTATGAAACTTCTAAAGGCAGATTAGGACATCTTTCATATTACTGCAGTAGACTGAGGTGGATTCCTTCAGTATGTCACAATGAACATTGGTAATAACAGCAGATATCAGGGTAAGAGTAAATGTCGAGTAATTCCAAAAAATATGCAGCCTTTTCATGTAGTAAGTTAGACGAAAATCTTTCTTCGATAGCAATAAAACATGGAAAGACCAAGATAGATCAGAAAAAAACTTAAACCAAGATGACTTTTGACAGTTTTTATCAAAGAATTTCCAATGATACAAGCTTTATGGGATTCCAACAGTGTTTAGCTGCTGTTCATGTCTCATGCTAAAGTTAACAGTTTGATATTTAGACAGGTTAAGTGGGAGAATTAATTTCATGTTAAATATATGCTTTGATTATCATACACTTGTTATTAATTTGTCCCTTTATCATCACTTACAACGTTATCCTCTTTTTCCTTTTTTATGACTTCATCTTCAACACATAAATATTGATCAGTCCCAACCATTGTGTTACACTGTTTCAGCCATTTAAAATTGGTCAAGCCCTATCTGGTGAAGCCGGTATGACTTTTCTGGAATCGGACTCCATGTTTTCAAGGCTCATAAACCCACCGCGTAGACGTGTTTGCGCGAAAAAATTGTCGACCCCAGATCTTAACGCGCGGGCTTCGCACTTGAGGGGAAGTATGGTTTATATGCATAACAGCTATACATAAACTTTCACTCATGCATTCCTTGTCATACACATAGGTATACTTAACCTACAAGCAAATTTACGTTATATGCACACCGGTAACATAAGTTTTCACCTGTGCATCCCACAGCATACAAAAAGGTAAATTCACCCACTTGAGAGGGTAGATGGTCACCGCCCCCCTTCGAACACATTTGCTACAACTATCTTACGCATTACATGCATGAATATACATGAATACATACATGAATATACGACACTGAACAAAGAGTACATTGTTGGAAATTTAAAGAGGATATATTTACAATTTAATATGAGTAAAGATCTTCAATAGCATAAAATATCAGTGACACATGATCGCCAAAGGCAATGTACCTAACCATATGAAAAACGTTCGTTTACTGAAATTCCTTCAAGTTCGTTACTCTCTCGAGCTGTAAATCAATTGTTGAACGAGATTTTACTTCCCATTTACGATCCATGTCATGTTATTACCAACATGAAAATGGTTGACGGCTTCATCTGTTCAACAACTTTTCTTATCAGTTCAGAATAAGAATTTAAAAGCATAAAATTCGGGTAACCGGAGGAATGTGGGAAAAATGTAAGTCACTAGGTACTGATGAATTTTGAAAACCTCAATATATACGGAAGAGATGCTCTCCCCTTTTGTTCATGCAAACCCCTCATAAACATCTTGAACTCTGTGACCATTAAACAACACGAAGTCTTTGGTCCGCTTAATAAACTTGATGTGGGAAAATCTATGAGACCATATGAAATACATCCTACGTTACCAAAGGAATTAGAGAATTTTGTCGCCAATCCCTTGAGCATATGTTTTAATCTATTTGTAACCCACGATATACTGGAAGAACGCCACAGTAAGCCTTATACTCAAAGCAGCTACAAGACGTGAACATGAGAACTACCGACGTGTAAGCCTAACCAGATTGGTTGGTGAAATTTTAAGCAAGATTATTCGAAGAGTTGTGTGAGTATTTAGAAGGAAACCACAGTTTATCAAAGCAAGTATGGCTTTAGAACAGGTCATCCATGTCTCATAAAGTATGGATAGTTGCACAGTGAATAACATTGAGCTACCTGATGTTCAGACACAAAGCGACCTATGAGCCATAATTGGTAAAGGATTTAAACTACCATGCACACACTATCCCGCAATAGCTACCAAAGGTTTTAGTATTTTTTGAACAATTCGTGGAGCCTCTATCCATGTAGATTCTAGAGGCTTTTAAACTATATACGAAGAGTTCAAATGTTCTAAACTCGATAGTTGCAAACGAGCAGCCATCCTCTGCATAAAAAAGACGGTGAAACTCTGAAAACTATTCAAAGAAACGCAACCAAGTTGACTTCTGTAATCGCGAATCTACTGTATGAAGAAAGACTGGCGAAACAAGACAAATTTTTTCATGCTACGCAGAAGGACCAGATTTGATATGAAAGAAGTGCTTACATTACCTAATAATTAATTTAAATCTGGTATGGTTTCATTTTTCTTGTCTTTTAGAACAAAGAATTTACAAGGACACTCTAAAAAAGCTCACAAAAGTTTATTTCTCATGTACGATACATGTCATGTTATTACCAACATGAAAACGGTTCACAGCCTCTTCTGTTCAACAAAGTTTCTTATTATTTCAGAATAAGAATTTAAAAACACAAAATTCAGGTAACCGGAACAGTTTATGTGTGACAAATATCATCAAATGAGTGCAATCACAGTGAGATATCAACATTAATCTCAAAGAAATTTATCACATATAATTCCAACCACTTTTACTCTAAACATCGTTTTCACAACGAAACTCAAAGCCAAAGTAACCGATCATTTTCTGATACTTCTTCGTAGATTGAAGTAACAATCAGTCAAATAATAAAACACTTCAAATAATTAAATAAACCTACGAGTAATTACGTAGACAAGTGAATAAAGATATCATTAAAACATGAACAATAACAGTCTATGGATTTCAATATAAGTGACAATGAATGTAGAAAACTTCCTCAATGTACATTAATTGACTGTAACTCTACTTCTCCATCAATGTAGTGCGCGTTATCGACACACACCATCAAAAAAGTAAACAACTAGTTGGAAAGAAGACAACACAAATAAAATAATACACAACGCACCTGAAAATAACAACCATACACTTTAACTTACATTCGGTTATATAACAAGATGTTTCTGGAATATATTCCATAGGAACACGTATCCACTTAATGCCAATCCGAGAGATCACACTAGCCACGACCACGTCAATCCCTTTTTAAGTGAAAACAAACCACATTAATAACCTTAAGAGTGAGCTACAAAATACTTACGATCTGAATATTATATTTTCCTTTATATGAATGACATATTCCCTAACCTACAAGCATCATTAATTTGGAATATGGTATTCGTAATCCTACTTTTACTCCTTGTCTCCTGTTTAAGTTCAACGATTCGGAGTATCAAACTCTAAATTTACAAAAACTTTGATTTCAACCACTTTTTAAATGCTTACATTTAATAAAGAAAAACACAGGACAAGTAGTACAATTGGATTTGTTTGACAAACTATACATAATTAGAAGTAGTAAGACTAACACCGCATGGAAGAACAATCACTGATGTTTCTCAGAATCCAGAATAGAATATTGTTTTCACGCCATACTAATAGTACCTCTTGTTTTATAAAATAACCAAAGTTATAAGTGTGAATATAGAGTACTTTTATTGTTTAAAACGATGTAAACGTAAGCCTATAGGATTTCAGACAGATCAGAAATTTGAATCCAAACACTGTGAATAGACACATACTACTTACAACACAACAAGTAGCTTCATCGTTTAACGTACAAAACATTTGGTTTGGTAATAGATACGGAAATGTATTACAGCTTCACATGGAAGTTTACTTCTTAACTAAACGTCAAAACCAAGTCTTTTGTACTCATGAATTTATGAACCACTTAACCTATTTATTCGATGGTGGAGGTCTTCAGATTGAAACTGATCATTTAAATTTATACAAAGTCACCATTGATTTTATCCTAAATTATCAATATGTCGTCTACAGGGTTTACATATTTAGAATTCTAACACATAATTCCTTAAAATAATACTAACAATAAAGAACATTGAGGTAAACGTGTATCATCTTCAAACTGAAGGAAGGAAACTGGGTAAACAAACACTGGAAACTGAAGTCGTTCCAAGGATGATTTCAAAGAGGTTGACATGACAAGGATTTATGGCTAGTTAAAGACGACAACCAAAGGCATTTTCTGATGTACAAATCAGCTTCGATATAATAAAGAGTGGTAGTCTACAATTTTTTCAGGATTTGTGGGCAAATGGATCTTTAAAATGATTTAGACATGGGCGGTGAACTAATTGTATATTCATACTGTTTATTACTGTATGAACATAAAAGAATTAGGATAATAACGTAGTTACTAGCATCAATCTTAAAACTTTTACTCAACTTATCCATAGATTTTCCCTGAAGGTCAAAAACTATTTGCTTCTTCGATTTCTCGAAAATACAAAGGCTATTAATTAATCTCACAAACCGTATGAGATTATGTATACTTCAAAGATAAATCTAAATACACACCTGGTAAAACATGAACATGTTGATGACCATCGAAATGACTGGGAATAGTTCCAAAAACATCTCGAAATGCATTTATTTGTGATTCCAGTTCAACTTCAACCTAAAGTGCAATACATTGTACATAAGATTTATTATTTTTATTATTTAAAAATAGCTTCCCAAGAACATGGCATCTAGGTAGAGAGAAGGAGACAGAATTTCTAGAATTAGTACAAATGTTTATCTCTAATACTGAAAAGTAATTAAGTTGTGTGGCGAACCGAAAAATAGCCACAAGCACAACTTAATTCCATCACTCAAAAGCTCAATATTATCTAAGGATAAAAATGTTGGATTTATTACTGAAGTGCCCCAAATTAAGACTAGACAACTGGTCAATTCATTGCCCCCATTAGCCTTAATCCTCAATGGATAAACATACTTCATAACTGACAGTGGTTGAATAGATATTCTAAGTAAGAATACCCAGAATAATCCATTTTAAGTCATATAGAACTCAATGACCGCAAATGAACACATTATATTTAGAAACCGTAATAAGCGCGGAACCATCTAAAAAACAACCATTATTGTATACAAAAATCAAATATGCCATCGGAAAAAATACACCAAATATTAGCCTTTGAATAGGTATTTAGAATACTGGAATTTTGATTGAAATAACAAAGACAGGACGATCGTTTATCGACCATAAATAATCGTCATGCAAAGAAAGCTCATGAGACTCACTTCATTCATCTTAATCCCAGAGAACATCAAAGTCCTTCGAAATCCATGCTTACCAAGGAAACAACCATTATCATTCAGTAAGCTTTGTACAAACTTCGTCTTGGATAAAGGTTTCCCTTCAGTCAAGTTAAAATGCAAACCTACAAAGGACACCAATCTAGAATCAGATAATGATAAATGTTATGTCTTGAACACTTGATTAGATGTGGAGACTGAAGTGAAAACAAATTCACTCTATTCCTTCATCTATCTTGAAACTTAAACCATTCACTATTTCTACAATGTTACTGATTATCTTCACCGTTTTACATTTTCTCTCGTACATATTGAGACAAAGTTGAGTTCTGTTTGCATTGAGCGTGACTTTTACCGGCAGATATTTACAAATATCATTCAACATTCCCACCGATTTCGTTACAAATTCAGGACTAAATTGTCTTACATTTACAAGAAGTGATTTTTAGTTGAAATATAAACTCTTGGAGGGACTAATTTTGAAAACATATATGTTATTTTTCAATATATGCACGAAATATATTTAGGGACGTGTAACTAATAATTTTGGTGACGTATACAATCAAAAATCAACACTTATACTCGACTAAAATCTACGGATGTTGAAAATATGGTGGAACCTTCGTATGAAAGCATGACCAACTAATCAAATAAGAAAAATAACCTGAAGATCAAAATTAGCCCTATACAGTCTTGGACGAAAGAAAGTTATCTTTTCTATCAAAATGTGAAGTAACCGACTAATAGCCTATATTGCACTTGACGCATCTACAAAAGATATGGACAGAATAGTGAATGAATTGAAGTGCTTTTAGCTTCAAGATTAAGAATCGGGTTACCCACGAATAGAAATCAGTCATATTTCAACTCATTTAATAGACCAACACATAAAAAAGATAGTGGAATCAACATTCTACTCCATATAATTTCATACGTATTTGGAGGAAATTCACACCGCGACTATAAAATAACTGGTCATGTCAATAAATTTAATAAACATATGATTCCGTATTCTGAAAACTAAAACTTGCGGATATATCTGCAGTTCCGAATCACATAAAAGTTGATAAACTGAAATTTATTAATTCATTAGGTTTATGACTTTTGTATCACGTTTTAATAAGAGATAACACGAACTTTGTAACTACAGGTTGTAAAACTAACCATCTGCATTTATTACGCTACAGAAAATAACAATATAATAATTTGGTTTGCTAAATGACAAACTAAAAATCCGGAGAAACTAATAAGAACTAAATAGATTTGTTAAAATCAGTGTGTTGATTTCAGTGACAATTGGCTCACACGAGACTGAAAAACTATTGTCGGTGGTGCATAATCTTAGAATTCTAGGTAACCACAGACCTATATTTATCCCAAATAACTTGTTATATGAATGACTTGCTCTAATAATTTCTGCACCAGCAAATTTTTGATACCAAATGAAGAACTAGTCACCGCCAATATTTACCTTCATTCGCACCGCATGACTTAGTTGCGGATTTTCAGAAAAGGTTGAACACTACAAACTCATTAAAAACTTAAAAATGAGGAGGACCGGTTTTCATTGCTAAAAAAGAATTACAAGATACTTCGGACTAAGCATATGATGAAGTATCAAAATTAGAATCCTGCAGATTAATCATTTGAAACAGTCCAAAACACTCTTTAAGACGGTTATGAAAGTTTCTATTTGTGTTAGCGTTTGATGCTGTGGAAGTATGTAGCAGAAATCTTTTGTAGGGTCTTGTTATGCCTGTATTTGACACTTTTTCTTCGTTTGTTTGAATGTAAAACTATGAAACACTCCACCTGATTAGCAACCTGGCTTCCATTTTGCAAAATGTAGTCGGAAACACAAATCAATTCATCGAAAACATTTTATTCAGAAGAGAAACACCCACAAACGTCAGACACACCTGAAACTCACGATCAACAGATCAAAGGAATGAGCAAAATAAGATATCGCTGAGTCTTAAAAGCAAATTCTATTACAACTCCAACTACAATGGTACAGCCGATAAATAGAATGAAACTACACTTTCCGATTTAGCCTCTCGTGTTTTAGCTTTTGTACCAAAACATTTCATATTCTATTGAGACACATAGCGATTTAGGCAAATTAACATTCAGGTTACTAAGTTGTTCGTAATGAAGTGAGTCGAATAAGTTGTAGTTACATTACATCCTCAACATCCACCTTTGTTTAGTCCAATTTATTGTTGCTGATTTTTTTATACGTGAGGTCTAGACTTATATGCCACGCACGACTAAATTAGTTATGGTAACACGACTTCATTACCACTGATGCTGTAACTACCCCTACTATTATGGGACTTGGCATGAAAACTTCATTTCCCCCCCCCCAAACAACTAACAAAGGGGAAATAAAGACGAACAAAGGGGAAATAAAGCGGAAAACGCATTGGAAAATAAGTCGCAAATGATGGGGAAATGCGCCAAAATGTCTGCTTTTTCGCCTGTCCGGGGGAAATGAAGTGTAATTTCCCCTAACTGTTGCTCTGTTTTTCAAATGTCGCTAAATTTCCGATTTTTCCCCCAAATATCCGACGAATTGCCGACTTTTACCATAAATATCCGAATTGCGGACAGGCAATAGCACAGGCCTGTGCTAATTGGGTCTGGCAACTTGAGCCGACAGGCTCTACGTTGTGACTAGCTGACAGACTATGCTTCGGATAACTATATCAATTTAATAAAGGGTAAGCACTGTCGAAGCTCCCATACAATAAATTGGATACAAAAGGTCAGCGCTTTAAGTCTCAACATAAGTCGATGATATATCATTGCTTATAAGCAAACACGGTGAGCAATGTGTAGATATGAAGTAAACAAAATAGCAGAAATACTGATATTTTTAATAAAGTGCACATCGGACAATATTACCCGGGATTTGTCTATGCCGTGTGATATGTGAGAACAGTAAGGACATTTGTGGTCTTTTATGGTATGGAGAAGAAAGCAGACCTTTTGCAACCGCACCATTCATTAGAACTGAAACGTCTGATACTCCACGATCTACTGCTGAAAGACATGAAACAATGCCCTGGTCCCTGATATCCGAGTAAAATCCATCATCAGCGTTTACAATAATCTTAGTGCTTCCAAATCCATATGATCCAACTGCCATAATAATAATAATGTGAAAAATATACTGTGACTTTGTACTGTCAAGTATCAAAAACTAAAAGTGAAAACAAAACATTTGACTTATTGCTGAGTTAAAACGTTCATTCATGCACTATTATCTTTAGTTTGGTATCGCCCAAACAACCAATAAATAGGAAATAAAGACGAACAAAGGGGAAATAAAGCGGAAAATGCATTGGGAAATAAGTCATAAATAAAGGAGAAATGCGCCAAAATGTCTGCTTTTTCGCCTGCCCGGGGGAAATAAAGCGGAATTTCCCCTTTCTGTCGCTCTGTCTTTCAAATGTCACTAAATTTCCGATTTATACCCTAAATATCCGACGAATTTCCGACTTCTACCCTAAACATCCGACGACTTGCCGATTATTAGCCTAAATATCCGCCACATTGTCTACTTTTCCACTACATACACACTGATGCATTTACCGCAACCGCCCCCTGTGTTCGCTTTCATTCCCACAACACAGCACACGAATAATGTAAAGTACGTAAAATATGGTATAATTTCCAAATTTTTATTGAAAACAAAAAGTTCTTCAGTGTACAAAGTTATGCATAACTTGCCAACTGCTCATGAGCAGTTGGCAGATGGTAGAGTATCAATGCTCCTTATGTAATTGCCATTGTCACGGACCAGGCATTTCACGTATTCATTCTTTCCACCAGGCCTGTTGGACTATGGAGTCAAACAATTCTTGTGAATTCTAAAATGTGATGAAGAAAAACGTTACTAAATCTAGGAAACTTGTTTTGCACAACAAGGTACTTGAAGCTGAACTTACGGTTATATCCTTGAACACGGAAGACTGTACCTATAGATAATGCAAAAACAGTAATCATTTTAAAGCCGTACATACGTGTCCTTTGTTCCGTCGATGACGCTTCTGTACTTTGTCTCTCATATCGTGGAAATAACTTTGTGTCGCCATGTCATATAGTTTCACAAGGTCTTTCTCGTTGACAGATGACGACAGGAATCGATTAGTCAGTGCACCTGAAGTTTAAAAACCTTATTTATCTTACTTCGTACGCAGCCGTAAAACCTGCACTTCTGAATCGCTCGTTTTGATGAAGTACCCAGTAACGTGAAATTAATGGCGATTTCAGGTTTCATGATGTAGGACAGAATATATCGCATAGAGGTTTTAGGATCATCATCCATTAAACGTGTCAACATGGCCATCTGTAATAGGAATGAAGGATAAAAATCATGTTGTGTGCTTACAAATCTGTTTCTCACGTCTTTTTGCTCTAGATAAGCGTCCAAAGTTCCCAGTTCCTCTTCAGATGACAAAGGGAACTGTTGGCTGGATAGTCCACAGTCAAATTGACGCGGATCTTCGCGGTCAGTGAACCTTGAGAGCACCAGCTTCATATTTGTATTCACTTCACTCAAGCTTGCTAACATTTTAAGCTGCAAAGTATACATATGCAAAGTATACCCTGATCAGGGTAAGCCATAACGTATAATGTTCACATGAACTAACAAGAGCTTAAAAAGACACAGTCCTAGGCTTATATCTGGCGGTATAGATCACCAAAAAAATCTAAGAGAAAAAAGGTTTAGAGGACCACCCCCTCTTACGAATATACAAACGGCGCAAATGGTGTTTCAAATGTCTTCATATTCCCTCCACTTTATTGGTATAGTCCGCAGTATGGTAACCCACGAAAGTTTGTTTTTTAGATAACGACTTCATAGTGATATCATAGCCACTGAGGACACCTATTAGATCTCTAGACGCTAGTATGGACGGTGTCTGGCTGCATATACTTTATTATTTGAAGGATTTGGAGTAAAAGACCTATGCTTCTACCTGCTGGAAATACCTATATTGGCTGTCTCAAACCGAAATCCTAGAAGCTTTCAACAGTTAGATACATATCCACCTACCTAGTCAAGTGTTAAGATAAATGCCATGTTATTCTTCTGGATCCGTTGTTATTCTGATCGGTCTTCGTTGTCCTTCCTCTTCTGTCTCTTTCACTCTTTTGCTGGCAATCATTGCACTTCCATTTCCTAATACATATTACCGACATCTGTCCATAGAAGTAGTGTACACTACACTCGTCCTCCGTTGAAAGTGTCGTTCTTTCAGTCGTTCTGATCACCATGCCTCCTTTTTTGTCACGGTCTGTGCTTCACCAGCTGTTGCTGAAAGCGCGCTATTTAAAAGGACAGTGGTATTGTTTCACGTTGAGTTTAATTCACTGTTTTGATCGTAAATTACGTATCAAAACTACCGTTTACACTTTAATTGAATTTATTTCAGTTAACGTGACATTGTATTTGTGTGTTTTGATCCTGCTTTTGTGTATTTACTGCATCAAAGCATTCTTGGTCGACTGAGGCTTGTTTATTTGATAAGGTTGTGATTTATCTTACATATCTACCTTGCCTATCATTTTGCTTTATTCTAAGATGGTCGGCTCTGCACACAAGTGTGGACAGCCATATTGCTTATTCCCCGTGGAAGAAGGGATGCAGTGTGACGATTGTAAGAAGTGGTTTCATAAAATGTGCACCCGCTTAAGCCCTGCTGCCTATAAAAGGTGCTCGAAACCAAATTCTCATTGGCTCTGTATGTTTTGTTGCTCAAGTAAGACATTACTCATTCAGGAAGCCATCAGCCTTCTAGCGTTAGCTAAAAAGGTCGAAGTAGGCCGTGTAGGCAACATGGATACTGATAATGAAGATTGTATCAGTGTCGTAAATGCTGCCATGGCAGGTACCAGACACCCGATTTCGCAACATGAAGCAAAAATTTGTACTCCGATACAACCAATGAAAGCCATGCCATTAAGTACTGAGGGACCAGTCGCTTTAGCAGCGACTGAGGACCCGGCTAGAACCACTATCGTCCAGAATAGTTCCAATCTGGATGCTGAGAATAGTGGCAAATGGATTACGCGGAAACGCGACAGAGACGGAAAAATACCCAAAGAAAGCGCACGTATAGTCGGTAAGTCATCGTTGGACTCACGTCCTGAGCATCAGGCAACTCCGCTCAAGTCCAAATGTAAGGAAATATTTAATACTGTTGTGGATGGAAATAGTCTAACTTCACCAAATGTTGTTGGGAGTAACTCACTTGATCCACATGACACTGTGATAAAGAAAGCTAATAGCAAGAAGCCGGTAGCTAACCGGCAGGATCTGACATCACGGTCAAAGGCCGTGAACACGACTTTTAAGGCAGTTAAACAGGTGCCTAGTGTAATCATCTGGAACTTGGCAGAATCGAAAGACACCGATCCCGCTAAGAGACATGCCCACGACCTGCAGTTAGTCGGATCTCTCATCAGAAATATACTGCCAGAGGAGGTCCCAGGGGTACATATCTCGAAAGTCATCAGACTTGGTAAGTATGTTGGAGGCGAAACCCAACAGATAAGGATCCTTAAATTAGTACTCGGTAATTTTGAGGAAAGGGACGTATTACTAAATAACTCACGCAAAACTCGTGACTCAAACATTCGTATTCGACCTGACTGGCCACTTGAGGATCGGATCAAGTGGAAGAATGCCCTAACAGAGTTAAAAACTCGAAGGCTAAACGGTGAAGCGAACCTTACGATTAAGGGTTTTCGGGTAGTCAGGTCTTGGAAGCCAATGCTTCCGAGACCTGTGTGGGTAGAACGCATGTCTCCAAAAACACCCTAAATGTGTGTTATACGAATACTCGTAGTCTTCGGAATAAGATGTCTGAACTAAGTTTGATGGTAGACGACTTAAATCCGGATATAATTGTTATCACCGAAACTTGGCTCACTGTAGATATAGACTGTTCTCCAGTCATTTCAGGCTACATCTGTGTCAGAAGTGATAGAGTTAGAAGTCGCAAGGGAGGAGGCATAATATTATATATTAGGGACCACTTCCGCATTAACTCGATCATATCGGAGGCGCATGTAAGTGGTACGTGTGAGGTAGTATGTTGTACAATTAGGTCTAGAAACGGGTTAGTGACGATAGGAGGAATATATCGTAGTCCGTGTTGTCTCGCTGACGACTTTATCCTAAAACACGTCTGTTCTTGGAGTAAAGCAGAATGTTGTCTCATCGTTGGAGACTTCAATGCACCCCATATAAACTGGATAGAGCTCACAGCTCCAGGTGGGGGTTTTGATAGCGTCCTTCTGTCATCAATTATTCAATGTGCACTTGTACAATGTATCGTTAAGCCGACGCATATAGACTTGGAACATAATCCGTCATTGATAGACCTTGTCCTCACACACCACTGTGAAGATATCGTTGACATTCAACATCTTCCCCCACTGGTGAATAGTGACCATGTCGTACTTTCCTTTAAGTTCCGGATACATGGTATAGAATTTGAATCAGCTCCACCCCGTCCTAATATCTGGAGAGCTAATATTCCGGCAATCAGGGACTATGCTATCTCAATTGACTGGTCGGTCGATGCTGATGGATCGATTGATGATGCATGGAATAGGTTTAAGTCTACGTTCGAATCCGTAACTCAACCGTTTATCCCATGGTCAGCACGTAAGTTATCATATTGCCCTCCATGGATTAATAAGGAAACCCGGAAGCTGTTGAAGCGTAGGAAACACTTCTGGGACTTATTCTTGTCAACAGGTCAGGCATCATTTAAGTGCGAATATAAAAAAATCCGGAATATATGTAAAAAGACCATAGCTAAATCCCGCACGGCTTACGAACGACAGTTGGCATACGATAGCCGTACCTGTCCGAAGCGACTGTTTTCGTACGTTAAAAGGCGGACGAAACGTAGTGATGGTATCCTCTCATTACTGTTAAGCGAAAATTCAGCTTTATTGGCTGAATCTGATCTAGCGAAAGCGGAGTTATTTGCTAACTATTTCAGTGAAGTCTACTCTACGTGTAGTGTTACAACTACTTGTCTCGTTGACAATGAGATACCAGCCATAGGACCTTTACACGTGACAGAGGATATAGTTCTTCCTTTGATAACTAACCTAAAACCTTGTAAGATACCGGGCCCCGATGGGTTACACCCACGTTTGCTGTCGTCGCTTGCGGACATTATCTCAAGACCGCTCACGATGCTCTTCAACATGTCCCTTTCACAGGCTCAACTACCTAGAGACTGGAAAGACGCCATAGTTAGTCCTATATTTAAGGATGGTCAGAGACGGATAGTATCTAACTACCGGCCTGTTAGCCTGACCAGTATAGTAGTTAAGTTACTTGAAAAATTAATTCGGGCTAAGCTACTGAGCCACATAGATTCGTACAATCTGTTAACTCCCGAGCAACATGGGTTTCGTAACAAGCATTCATGCTTGACTAACTTACTCATTGCGAGAGAGAATTGGACAGCTGCCCTAGACAACGGCCAGTCTGTCGACGTGAAATTTATAGATTTTAGCAAAGCGTTTGATAAGGTTTCACACTTAGGTCTTATGCAAAAGCTCTCGAGCTTTGGTATAACAGGTGCTATACAGGAATGGATAGGAAGCTTCTTATGTGACCGCAGACAGAGAGTGAGAGTCAATGGAACTCTATCTGAATGGAAACCGGTCAGAAGTAGTGTACCCCAAGGCACCATCTTGGGCCCTTTACTTTTCCTTCTGTATATTAATGAACTACCTTTATTACTTAAGTCGTCGACGTTATTGTTTGCGGATGATGTTAAAATCTGGAGAACAATAAGAAATGAGACTGATCGTTGTTATCTACAATCAGATTTAGGTGGGCTCATGATTGGGGCCTGGAAGTTAATTCCAGGAAGAGCGTGTTCATGCACATCGGGCACGATATTAGTTACCACTATACCATTAATGGTACATCTCTGCCACGCGTTCATGCGCATAAAGACTTAGGAGTAATTATAAGTCACGACTTAAAAACTACTACGCACTGCAATGCGGTTGCTTCCAAAGGCTATCGAGCGCTATGGTCGCTTCGCAGAGCATTTAAATGCTTTGACGAGGATATGATTCGAATTTTATATCCCACCTATGTAAGGCCACACTTAGAATACTGTATCCAAGCAGCTAGCCCTTGTCTGATAAAGGATACTAAATCGCTTGAGCGTGTCCGGCGTGTAGGGACAAAATTAGTAGAGGGTCTTTCCAAACTTCCTTACGATGAGCGTTTAAAACGTCTAAATCTTTTCCCCTTATCTTATCGTAGGACGCGAGGTGACCTTATACTGGCATTTCGTATCTTTAATTATGATCTGGGTGTTAATATGTCTTACCTTTTTGCTCCCTCCAGCACTAATAATCTCCGGGGTCATAGCAAGAAGGTTCTGAAACCGCGATCTAATAAACTAAAGGTGGGGTCCCGTTTTTCTCATCGAGTGGTCAATGACTGGAACGCTTTACCAGAACAAGTGGTATCAGCACCATCAGTGAACATTTTCAAAAAGAAGCTGGACCTTCACTGGAAGG